AAAAAAAAAAAAAGTCGCCCTATTAGACGGCAGATAGTTAAACAACTATAATTTTTTAACAAATATACATGCTTTCAAATAAAAATTCACACTCTGAAAATTAAAATAAAATATGATATTTAATATCATATATATATATATATATATATTAATTTAAATAATTAGATATGTTGATTCGCCTAAGTATACCACCTCATATAGTAATTTGTGAAGATATAGAATTATAATTTGAATAAAGGTGTTAAAAATTTTGAATTGTAATTCGAATAATACTATGAGGTAAATAGTGTTTTCTAATTATTATTAGGACAAAATCGCAAAATGTTTGACCAATTGGACAAAGACAAAAGTTTAATGGAAATTTCCATTACACTTTAGTATATACTCAATTTGGCATTCAACGGTCATCTTAATTAATTAACTAATCTATATATATATATATAATTGCTAGCTAATCATTAAATAAAACCTCATAAATAAAACCTAATTAATAAAACCTCATTTATTTTCCCTCCAAAAGAAGTTACAAAATTTGTCATTTAATTTTGTTTTTCACATTAATACACCCCTATTAAGTGTAATCATGTAAAAAAATTAATAGCATTAACTATTATATAATATAATAGCAAAAAAAAAAAAATAGCAATATAATAATAATAATAATAATAATAATAACAATAATAATAATAATATCTTGAAACAATAAAATTGTTTATACTTATGTAATTTATATTTAGTGAAATACTATGAGTTGGTAATAACATTAACTATGATATAATATAATAGCAAAAAAATACATGATTACACTTAATAGGGTGTATTAATGTGAAAGACAAAATATGAATGACAAATTTTGTAACTTCTTTTAGAGGGAAAATAAATGAGGTTTTATTAATTAGGTTTTATAAATACATGTGTTGACCTAAAAATCTGCTTAAGCGTTGGATGGCTGACACGTGGACGGCGAGAAAGTGAAAGGGGTACGCCGAAAAGTGCCGAGAAAATGTTGCCCGACCTGTGGTAGCCGACCTCGTCTGGAAGCCGACCTCCTGAACGAAGCAACCTCGGGCGCAGGCCGACGTCGGAGCAGACAGACAGCATTTAATGCACGTACCATCGACTGTTCAGAACCCATGTGGAGACATCATTGCGCGAGGGGGCCCCACAGACAGAAAAAGCTGCGCAGATGTCATTCCTCATTAAATGCCGCCGAATCTCCTCAAAAGATGAGCCCCCCAGTTACTATAAATAGCAGCAATAAAGGCAATACGAGGATCTTTTTCCGACACATAAATTCTGCATTAATCACCTCGGCTTTCGCCAACTTTAACATTATTGTACGAGAAAAACCGACCTCAAGTCCTCGGAATACCGACTTGATACTTTCTTAGATAATTCCCAGTTATTTAATAAAATCGTCTCACTACGGTATTAATCTACAAATATTAATATAAAAAGCTGATCATATCCGTTTATCAACAGTTTGGCGCTAGAGGAAGGGGCCTCATAAGATATCTTGAGGTTAATCTTTGCATCCAGCATCCACCGTTGAAACCGTTGACCTGAAACCAGACAACGATGGCACAGTCAGGACAAGATGACCAAACAACAAGGGGTGGGGACAGTCACGGCCCAATCCCTTCAGTCGGTAGGGCCAATACCGCCATAATACCAGACCTTGCTACGCTTATGCAGAACCCAGAGTTTGCGAAAGGCTTCTCAGCACTACTGGCCCAAACAATGCCAGGGGTCTCGAGAACCGCGCCAGGACAGTCGTTGGCGCCCATAACCCCGGCTAGGCCGGCGGCACCACCGCAACAGGGCGTGAACAACCAAGCGCGCTCACACGCAACGTCCCAACCAAGGGACGGCACCGCCCAGCGACAACCGACCCAGATGGTCAACCCCCAAGAGCAGGATTTGCAAGAAATGACGGCAGAAAGCGAGTCCGGACATGCCCGGAGGGAAACCGCCGTCGCTAGACCCTTGTTCCGAACGGCGGGAAACCCAACCGACCTCCGGCACCAGATAGTGCGGGGCCGAGCGGCTAGGCACGACAACCCTGAGATGGAGACCTTAAGGAGGAGAATCGCCGAACTTGAGACTTTACAAAACCAAAGGGCGAGGTCACCTCCCAATCAACGCAGTCAAGAGACCGACCACGTGTACGTGGAGACGGACTCCCCACTCTCTCCCGAGTTGACTTTAGAGCCACTGACCGGGAAAATAAAGGTCCCACAAATCGGCCTGTACGACGGAACGTCGGACCCAGACGCCCACCTCGGGCATTACACTTCATGGATGGATTTACACGGGGCCACCGACGCCCTCAGGTGCCGCATGTTCTCCCTAACTCTGGGGCCAAAGGCACAGAAATGGTACTACTCGCTGCCTGCGCAATCTATCCGACGCTGGGTTCAACTCAGGTCGGCGTTCCGCTCCCATTTCGTCGGAGCGCAAGTCTGCTTGATCCCAAAGGAGTCGATCACGAACATCGTCCAGAAGGACGACGAGAGCTTGAAGGAGTATGTTGCTCGTTTCAACGAGCGTGTGCAAAACATGGAGCCGTGCCATCCGGAAACACTCTTGGTGAGCGCCATTTCGGGGTTGAAGCCGAAATCGATGTTTAGGTGGGCGTTGTGCCAAAACAAGCCCAGTACCTTCCAGGAATTTTTGGTCCGGGCACAAAATCACATAATCGCTGAGGAAAGCATGTCGGTCCCGGATTTCACGTTCGCATCCCCGGGACAAAAACCGACGTCGGAAAAGAAGAAAAAGTCTTTTGGCAACACGCACAAGAAGACCTCCTCCACGGACCCGAGGTGGGGGGATCCGAATGACCCCGAGGTACGAGCAGCTCGGAAACAATACCGAGAAGACCTGAAAGAAGGATACCGATCTATCTACTCGGTCGGAGCGGCCGCCATTTACGAGGAGATAAAAGGAAAAGGAATCATCCCCGACGCTCGACCAGTCAAAACCCCGGAAAACCAACTCGACAAAGGCCGCTACTGCGACTACCACAAGTCGCCGGGTCACAATACGGATGAATGCCTGAGCCTGTTGTCGGCTCTGATGAAGCTCATCGGTAATCCACAAGTGAGGAAATTCACCAAGGCTGGAGATAACAAAGGAAAACGAAGAATGCAGGAAATCCCCGACGACGACGAAGGAGATGAAGGGGCACCGACTTTCAAGAGGCTTCGAGCCCAGGGAGATAGAGAAATCTTTGTGGTCGGACCGGCGGACGCCGGTTCGCCCCAAGACCAACACAGGAAGAGGGGCCGAGAAGCCGACGCCCAGCCGCAATCCGGCCAGACCCCTCCGACCTCGGGACGGTCGAGTCCTATTCCCCGAGTTAATACAAACCGAGATACACCGACTTCATCCAGAAGGCAGGCCAAGGCTTATGCACGGAAGGCCTACAACTCGCGGAAGCAAGTCATGACCTCGGATCTTAGAGAGACGATCAATGCCCGCACCTGCCCG